CGGCGCCCCAGGCCTCACGGTCCCCTCCCCGCAGGCTTCGGGCAGGAGAACACCTGGATCGGTCTGAATGACAGGATCGTGGAGAGGGACTTCCAGTGGACGGACAACACGGGGCTGGTGAGTAGCAGCGCGGGCCGGGGCTGCCGGGTCGCCAGCGCTGCCTCGGGCCTCAGTTGACCCTCGTGCACAGGAAGCGCAGGGGCCGCCTGAGGTCCCCAGCGGCTCCGGGCCGCCGCAGTTAGCAAAGGAGCTTTTCACTGCTGACGTCCGGCCTGCAGGCCCTCCCTCCCAAACCCGGGCCTGCAGCCTGAGGCCTCCTCGTGCCCCTCGGCCTGGGCCCCCAGAGTCTGCCAGCCGGGCCTCTCTCGCCCGCGCCCTGGCCGGGGGCACTTTCGTGTTCTGACTGAGTCGAGAGTCAGAACATAAAACTGATGTTTTAGCCGGGCTCGGTGGCTCAGCCTGTCATCCCGCGCCTTTGGGAGGCCGAGGTGAGTGGATGGCCTGAGCCCGCGGGTTCGAGACCCGCCGGGCAACTCGGCGAGCCCTCATCTCCGCAATAAGTCAAAAATGAGCCGGGCGTGGTTAGCGCGCGCCTGTAGTTCCGGCTACTCGGAAGGCTGAGGCGGAAGGATCGCCGGAGCCCAGCGGGTCGAGGCTGCGGGGGCCGGGAGCGGCCGCTGCCCTCCAGTCTGGGCGACCGAGTGCGACTCCAACTCAAAAACAAAAAAACTAATGATTTTAAAGGGGCATTTAGTGCAGTCATAATGTTGTACAACCACCACCTCTGGCTAGTTCTGAACGCTTCCATCATCCTAAAAGCACTTGAAGACGTTTTACAAATCATACATCCGCCGGGCACAGTGGCTCAAGCCTGCAGCCCCAGCACTTTGGGAGGCCAAGGCAGGAGGATCACTTGAGCCCAGGAGTTTGAGGCCAGCCTGGCAACACAGTGAGACCTCCACTCTACCAAAAATTAGCCGGGCGTGGTGGCACACGCCTGGAGTCTCAGCTACTCGGGAGGCCGAGGCGGGAGGATCACCGGAACCCAGGAGTTGGAGGCCGCAGTGAGTGGTGACCATCCCACTGGCCCCAGCCTGGGAGAAAGGGCAAGATCCAGACTCAGACAAACCTCGGTGGAAGAAGCCAGACACAAAGGGCGACCTTTCGTGTGATTCCACGTACATGGAGCTTCCAGAGTGGGCCAGTGTATAGAGAGAGAGAGTGGACGCGCGTTTGCCAGGGCCTGGGGCGGGGAGAAGTGGGAGTTGCTAGCACTTAACAGGCACAGAGTTTAGGTTTGTTGTGATGGAAAATTCTGGAAGTAGTGGTGGTCATTATACAACATCGTGAATGTAACTGTCACCAGTAAACTGTACACTTTTAAATGGTTGCTGGTCGCAGTAGCTCACGCCTGTCATCCCAGCACTTTGGGAGGCGGAGCTGAGAGGATGGCCTGAGCCCATGGGTTCGAGACCCACCTGGACAACTTGGCGAGACCTCATCTCTACAATAAATCAAAAAATTAGCTGGGCGTGGTGGCGCGTGCCTGTGGTTCCGGCTACTCGGAAGGCTGAGGCGGAAGGATCACCTGAGCCCAGCAGGTCGAGGCTGCGGTGGCCGGGAGTGTCCCCCTGCACTCCGGCCTGGGAGACAGAGGGAGACCCGACTTAAAAAATGGCACCTTTTGTGCTGTGTATATTTTGCCACGATTTAAAGAGTCTGCGTCCTCTTCCACCACGAGATCTGGCCCTGACCGCTCTGCCACCCTCAGCTCCACCAAGCAGCCCCAGATCCCCCAGCCTCCAGTCTTTGAGCCTCCTCAAACAGAGCAAGCTCAAAGCCTCGGAACCTCTTCCCTCACTGTTCCCTTTGCTTGGGACTCTGTTCCCTCTGTCAACCCTTCGTAGTCTTAATTCTTCAGCTCTGATGTTGCCTCCTCAGGGAAGTTGGGAGTTCCAGACCAGCCTGGGCAACATAGCAAGACCCCACCTCTTAACATAATTAGCTGGGCATGATGGTGCCCTGACTTATAGGGTGAGATCCCTTGCCTTTTATTCAACTATTTACCTAACAGTAACCCCACTATCTAGTGGAGGCCAGGACCAGGGTTCATGCCAGTAATACCAGCACTCTGGGGATTGCCTGAGGCCAGGAGCTCAAAACCACCCTGGCCAACATAACCAGACCCCATCTATAAGACAAAAAATAAAACAACTAAAAATTAGCTGGATGTGGTAGTGCGTGCCTATAGTCCCAACTACTTAGGAGGCTGAGGTGGGAGAATCTCTTGAGCCCAGGAAGTCAAGGCTGCAGTGAGCCATGATCATACAACTGGACTCCAGCCTGGCCAGCAGAGTGAGAGAGACCCTGTCTGTAACGATAACAATGAAACAGATAGTAGGGGCTGGGGCGGCGACAGTGAGAGACAGGAATCAAATAGACCAGGGAGGAGGACACTGCAGCCCTCCAGCCAGAGGAGGGAGGCTTGGATCACAGCAGCAGCCACCACCAGCATAGGCAGGGCAGCGTCCATTGTAGATAGGGGAACACTGAGTCCCCATGAGTTTGCAGGGTCAAGCCAGTGGGATTCCCGTAGCAGGCAGTGCTAGAACCCGGCCTGGGACGGAGGCCCCCTCAACAACTCCCTGTGCCCCATTCTTGCAGCAATACGAGAACTGGAGGGAGAACCAGCCAGACAATTTCTTCGCGGGTGGTGAGGACTGTGTGGTGATGGTGGCACATGAGAGTGGGCGCTGGAATGACGTTCCCTGCAACTACAACCTCCCCTATGTCTGCAAGAAGGGCACAGGTATCCTGCACCTCCACCCTCCCCTTCCTTCTGGTCACTTATGCTATTGGCTCATCCGTTTATTTCAGCAGGCAAATGTCAGCCCAGCCAGTTTCCACTCCCCATCACTGTGTGGGAGTGCTTGTTTCCCACCCTTGCCAGCTCTGTGCATTCTCACACTTTTTGTTCTTTGTGTAAGTGGGTGCAAAATAGCATCTCATAGTTATCTTAGTTTGTGCATCTTTGAAAATGAGAAGAACCAACTATTTACATGTTGACAGGCTATTTGTAGGCACTTATTTTCCTTTGACCTGACAGTTCATCTCCTTTGCCCCATGTTTTATCTGGTTGTTGATGTTATTGATTTCTGAGAGCTCTTTACGTATGAAAGCATCATTTGAATACAGTCTCACATTCACCTTTCTCTTATACTTTGGTTCATTCTTGCTTCCATTTATTTGCCAGTTTCCATGTCCTTTTTTCCTTCATTTGCTCAGATAATTATTCTTGTCTCTTACCTTCTTCATTCCCATAGTGCCCTATGTTTGGCATAAGAATTAGTGAGTGGAGCATGTCTAGGAGCTTCCTGCCTCCAAGGACCTTCTGGTTTGGTTGGAGGAGACAGAGAAAGACACAGTCACTTCGAGCTCTGCAAGATCAGAGCTGGGCAGAGGCCGGGACCTGCCGACCTCCTCAGAGGGTTACCATTCCAACAAGACATGAGACCATTTTAGCCCCAGAGGAGCCCTGGCCACCTCCCTGACTGGAGACTCCTCTGTCCCTAGTGCTGTGTGGTCCCCCTCCAGCCGTGGAGAATGCCTCACTTGTGGGTGCCCGCAAGGCCAAGTACAATGTTCATGCCACTGTCCGCTACCAGTGTGAGGAAGGATTTACTCAGCACCACGTGGCCACTGTCCGGTGCCGGAGCAATGGCAAATGGGACAGACCCCAGATTGTCTGCACCAAACGTAAGTGGCCTTGCCCAGAGACCCTAACATAAGATTCCAGCTGTTTGTACTTGCCAATTAAAATGTCCTATTACAGGCTAGCCTTTGGGAGGTCCAGGCAGTAGGATAGCTTGAGCCAAGGAGTTCCAGACCAACCTGGGCAACGTAGCAAGACCGCTCACTACAAAAAAAAATTAATTTAGCCAAGCATGGTGGCACAAGCCCATAGTCCTAGCTACTCAGGAGGCTGAGGAGGGAGGTTCGCCTAAGCCCAGGAAGTCGAGGCTGTGGTGAGCCATGATCGTGTCACTGCACTTCAGCCTGGGGAACGAAAGAAAAACCCAAAACCATCCTGTTCGGGCACACACTGATGTGGCTTAATGTTTACCTGATAGAACAGCCTTGCAGATACATGAGAACTTACCAACTCACCCGGAATTTCCTTCAGTTTTTTTCCCTCCACCCCCAAGGTTGCCGCCTGCATCAGGCCATGCCCCCTCGCCACTTTCTACCCCTCCCCTGTCCCCTTTCGCTTCCTTGCAGCCAGACGGTCACATCGGATGCGACGACACCATCGCCACCACCAACACCACCACCAGCATCACCACCACAAGTCGCACAAGGAGCGCAGAAAACACAAGAAACACCCCACGGAGGACTGGGAGAAGGACGAAGGGAATTTCTGCTGAAGAACCAGGCAAAAGAAAGCACAGCCCCCTTCCCGCACCTCCTCTGGAGCCTTCACCTGGGAAGACGGAGCCCAGAGAGAAACGAGAAGGCCCAGAAGCCCCCAAACCCCCAGCTACCCCCCCCCCCCGGGCTCCTTTGTAAAAAAGCCCCTCTCTCCTCTTTCTTACATTCACAAGGTCCTCTTGGCAGGTGTAGTCATGTGTCTGAAAAGTCCATTCTTGTCAGGGTGAGCTCTGGGAGCGTCTCCCAGCTGAGGGAAGCACAAAATCAGCAAAGATTCTTCTTTGCACTGATCTAGTCTTGTTTGTCAGGCTGATAGAAATGAGGCTTTGAGGAGAGTGAAAGAGCGTATGTTTGGATTTACACTTAAGGAATTACTCTTCATACTAGAGATTCAGGTTTAGTCAGTATCAGTTGTCCTAAATCCAGGATAAAGCCTTTAGTTGCAGTCATTGGCTTTGGGAGAAGGCTAAACAGAAGCACACAGCTTGAGCTTGGCCTCGGCTCTTCCTGCCCCCTGGATTTCAGCCCAAGTTCAGCCTCTGGCTTTGGTGGGTACACATAGGGTGGAACTTCCATGTACTGTAGGAATGTTTCTAGAATAACCTCCCTCTGTGCCCTCAGAGTTAGGGGTGAGAATAGGCAGAGCCATATGTAGGTGACAGAGGGAAACTATATTGCTAACCCTCTCAGGTCTAGTCCAGCACTGAGATTTGGGATTTCTGCACGTGTGATGAATCTTTCTCACACACGAATGAGGATTTTTATAGGGCTAGATGAGCCTGGATTGATTCCCCCACCATCTCTCAGGGAGACAAAGAACCTCCTTCCTGGACCAAGGAGGTGCCAAGTTTTCTAGCCCAGTGCCCACACCCATCCCTCAAACAGACATTGGGAGTACCCCTGCCCTGGGTTCCACCCTTGCCCCCCCCACACCTGTCTCCAGCCATTGCCTGGTGGACTAGAAATACTTAAAACTTGAATTAATGACACCTACCTGCTGTCATATGGTACACAGATGAGCAGTGGTAAAATGTAAACACGTTTTTCTCTTGTAGTTTTTAATTTTTTTAAGGGGGCAAGAACTCACCTTGCCTTCCTCCCCCAAACCTGCAACCTATAAAAATCCTTTCCAAACTAGAGAGCAGGATCCAACTCCCTGATCTCTGGCAGGAAGAATCTACTTTTCCTCAGTGTCTGTTATCCACTCTCAATCACTCCAGTCTGGGTAAAATTTGTCAATTAGTGTTAAAAACCACACTGGAGAATGGCCCTTGCAGAAAAGAAAGATAAGCAAATACATGGTTCACCAAGGGTTCAGTAAAAAAGAAATGTGTTAACTGAGCCTATATCCCTCCTGGGAAGTAATAACCACAGTTGACAACTATGGAGTGGGTACCATGCTAAGGACTTACACACACCCTTGTATCTTCTGAACAGCCCAGTGACATAGAAGTCATTATTTTAGCCAGGCACAGTGGCTCACACCTGTCATTCCAGCACTTTGGGAGGTGGAGGTGAGAGGATGCCTGAGTCGAGGGGTTTAAGACCAGCCTGGGCAACTTGGTGAGACCTCGTCACTACAATAAATCCAAAAAAAATGAGCTGAGCATGGTGGTGTGCACCTGTAGTTCCAGCTACTTGGAAGGCTGAGGTGGAAGGATCGCCTGAGCCCAGCAGGTTGAGGCTGTGATGGCCATGAACATGCCACTGCACTCTAGCCTGGGTGACAGAGTGAGACTCCAACTCAGAAAAAGAAAGAAAAATTATTTTAACCGGGTGCAATGGCTCACATCTATAATCCCAGCACTTTCGAAGGCCGAGGTGGGAGGATTGCTGAGCCTGGGGATTTGAGGCCAGCGTGTGCAACATAGCGAGACCCTGTCTCTACACAAAAATTTTAAAATTAGGGCAACCCCCTCGGGTCCCCTCCCACTGTGGGAGCTTTTCTGTCCTCTCAATAAATCCTGCTTTTAAAAAAATTAGCCACATGTGGTGGTGTGCACCTGTCCCAGCTACCCTGGAGGTTGAGGTGGAAGGATTGCCTCAGCCCGGGAGGTCGATTCTGAGGTGAGCCATGATTGTGCCACCACACTCCAGCCTAGGTGACACAGTGAAACTCTCAACTCAAAAAGCAAGGAGAGATTATTATTTGCCCATTTTCCACATGATGAAACTGAGGCTCTGATATAGGAGAAAGGCACTAACTTGAAGTCATAGCTAAGATAGAGGTAAAGATTTGGTCCTCCATCTGTTGATCTGACTCAAAATACTGCTCTGGACTTCAAGGGAAGAGAGAAACATAATTGTTTCTCTTCTCTCTCTCTCAGTCTCTCTCTCTCTCACACACACACACACACACGGAGGCAGATTTAGGAAATGATTGAGAAGTGTAAACTGAAACCTTATCCATGTCTTCAATATTTCCTATATAGACGTTATCCACCCTGTTGTTTTTGTCTAGAAAGTCCAGAGATACAGGTTTGTCTTACTTTGATAACTCTTCTTAGTTTGAAATAACAATAATAATAGCATATTCAATCATCTATGTCACAAAAATTTTTCTTTGGGGGGTTGGAGATGCAACTTTTTTTGAAGAGGGTCTTGATTTATGCTCCCTGCCCTCAGATGCCTCAGACCTTTGCCCTGCCCCCACCCCAGCTCCAAGGTGGAAGGGGCTCTGGTCTTTTCTAAAGTGTGCAGTTTGTCTTCTGGTCTTTCCATTGGGGATGTGAGTGTGTGTCTGCGTGGGAGTGTGTGCGTGAACAGCTTTGGGTTCTGCTGGTTTTGCTGTTAGCTGCAGTGTTCTGTGGGTCTGTGGTATCTGACACTGTGGACATTAATGTACTTCTTGGACATTTTAATAAAATTTTTTAACAGTTCAACCTGCCTGTCACCTCCTGACATCTTCATTCATTCCTCCACCCAGAAAGAAGTTCCTGAGTGGCTATTATGAGCCATATACTGTGCTGTGTGCTGTAGAGATGGTAGTGAATAGGGAAGACGTGGTCTCTGAGGGGTGGTCAGAGACGGCTTCCCAGAGGAGGTGGATAAAGTCAGGCAGAAGTAGCCTGAGGAAGAGAGTTTCAGGCAGAAGGAAGAGGAAAGGTAAAAATCCTCTTGCAGAAAGGAGCATGACTCACTTGAGAAACAATGAGTTCATAGTGGCTGCAGCACAGTGGCAGAGGCAGAGTGGACAGAGATTAGGTCACAGAAGCAGGGAATAGACCACCAGGGGCCATGTAGGCTACAGCGAGGAGTTCGGGCTTTACTATAAAAGAAATAATGACCAAAAATAATAATAATAAGCAAGGCCAAAAGACAAATGTCAACCTTGGAAACACTTTTTCAAATCGGACATAAAGGACTTGTTGCCTTAATATATAAAGAGCTCCTACAATTCAGTAAGAAAAAGACTAATCCAAAAGCCAGGCAAGTGAAAGATATAAACAAAAAGTTCACAGAAAAGGAAATGCCAGCTCTCAAATTATAATATAGGCTCAAGAAACAAATACACATTTTTTTTTTTTTTTGAGTTGGACTCTCACCCTGTCACCCAGACTGGAGTGCAGTGGCCGCTCCTGGCCACCGCAGCCTCGACCTGCTGGGCTCCAGCAATCCTTCCGCCTCAGCCTTCCGAGTAGCTGGAATTACAGGTGTGCGCTACCACGCCCGGCTAATTTTTTGATTTATTGTAGAGATGAGGTCTCGCCTGCCCAGGCGGGTCTCGAACCCATGGGCTCAGACAATCCACTCACTCAGCCTCCCAAAGACGTGGGATTACAGGCTGAGCCACCGAGCCTGGCCACAAATACACATTTTGCAAGAACACCTACATACCCAAAGAAGGGCATAGATCAGTGATGACAATGTGCCTGAACTGAGGATGACTTATGATTTGCTCAGCCACCTGTACCTAAGGTCACAGTTGAGGGGGGTGGTGGGGGTTCGGTTTCACGAATAGAATCATAAATGACAACCACACTGGGATACCACTTTTCACCTATCAGATTGACAAAGGTAGAAAGTGACAACATACAATGCTGGTGAGGAGGTACAGAATAGGTAAGTATATCCGTTACTGGGGGAGGATAAATCGGCCCACCTCTGGAGAGGTGGAAATCACTACAAAAATGACAAGTTTACCCCTTGGCCCCAAACATCTTCTGATATTGTCCTCCAGTGACACTTGCATTTGTGTGTGATGTTGTGGGTACTAACTGCTCAAAATACGGGAAACACTCTAAACGTCTGCCATCAGGGAACTGTCTACAAAATTATGGCGCACCAGGCTGGGAATGGTGGTTCATGCCTGTAATTCCAGTGTTTTTGGAGGCTAAGGTGGGAGGATCGCTTGAGGCCAGGAGTTTGCAACCAGTCTGGATAATGTCTCAAAAAAAAAAAAAATAGTAATAATAATAGCCGGGCTTGGTGGCTCAGCCTGTAATCCCGCGCCTTTGGGAGGCTGAGGTGAGTGGATTGCCTGAGCCCGCGGGTTCGGGACCCGCCTGGGCAACATGGTGAGACCTCATCTCTACAATAAATCAAAATCAGCCGGGCGTGGTGGTGTGCACCTGTAGTTCCAGCTACTTACAAGCTGAGGCGGAAGGATCGCCGGAGCCCAGCAGGTCGAGGCTGCAGTGGCTGGGAGCAGCCACTGCACTCCAGTCTGGGAGACAGAGTGAGACTCCAACTCAAAAAAAAAAAAACATAATAATAATAATAAATGGCCGGGCTTGGTGGTTCAGTCTGTAATCCCAGCACTTTGGGAGGCCGAGACAAGTGGATTGCCTGAGCCTATGGGTTCGAGACCAGCCCAGGCAACTTGGGTAGACCTCGTCTCTACAATTAAAAAAAAAAAACTAGCTAGGCTCGGTGGCTCAGCCTGTAATCTTGCGCCTTTGGGAGGCTGAGTTGAGTGGATTGCCTGAGCCCATGGGTTCAAGACCCGCCTGGGCAACATGGTGAGACCTCATCTCTACAATAAATCAAAATCAGCCGGGCGTGGTGGTGCGCACCTGTAGTTCCAGCTACTTAGAAGGCTGAGGCAGAAGGATTGCCGGAGCCCAGCAGGTCGAGGCTGCGGTGGCCGGGAGCGGCCACTGCACTCCAGTCTGGGAGACAGAGTGAGACTCCAACTCAAAAAAAAAAAAAAAATAATAATAATAAACGGCCGGGCTTGGTGGTTCAGTCTGTAATCCAAGCACTTTGGGAGGCCGAGACAAGTGGATTGCCTGAGCCTATGGGTTCGAGACCAGCCCAGGCAACTTGGGGAGACCTCGTCTCTACAATTAAAAAAAAAAACTAGCTGGGCTTGGTGGCTCAGCCTGTAATCTCGCACCTTTGGGAGGCTGAGGTGAGTGAATTGCCTGAGCCCACGGGTTTGAGACCTGCCTGGGCAGGTGAGACCTCATCTCTACAATAAATCAAAAAAATCAGCCGGGCGTGGTAGCGCATGCCTGTAATACCGGTTACTCGGAAGGCTGAGGCGGAAGGATCGCCGGAGCCCAGCAGGTCGAGGCTGCGGTGGCCGGGAGTGGCCACTGCACTCCAGTCTGGGCGACAGAGAGATTCCAACTCACAAAATAAATAAATAAATAAAAGAAATGAAAATAAGAAATAATAAAATTAGCCAGCTGTGGTGGTCCATGCCTGTAGTCCCAGGTATTCTGAAGGCTAAGGTGGAAGGATTTCTTCAGCCCAGATCAGTGCTGCTGTGAACTATGATCGCACCACTGCATTCCAGCCTGGCTTAATAAATATTACTAATAAATAGTCTTCAAACCTTCACAAGAATGAGAAGGAGGAGAACTTTATGTGCTGATGGGAAACTATCTCAAAACAATATTATGTAAAAGAAGAGTTCCTTCACTTTGGGAGGCAGAGGCGAGGGGACTGCCTGAGCCCAGGGGTTCGAGACCAGCCTGGGCAACATGGTGAGACCTTGTCTCTACAATATATCAAAAAATTACCCGGGTGTGGTGGCGCACACCTGTGATTCTAGCTACTAGGAAGGCTGAGGCAGAAGGATTGCCTGAGCCCAGCA